ACTATGCCTGGGGCTCCCTTTGTTTGACAGTCATGAAATTGCCCTGCTCATGCGTGCATTTCTCAGTTCCTCATGGGAATCTCTCCAAGTCATCTGGTAAATTTCTTAATTTGTTTATTTTCATGGCTGGCTAGCCTACAGTAAATAATTATAGTTTTGCAGCCATTCTCTCACTAATGGTTATTCAGGTTTTTTCCCATTCCTGCCTGCTGCTAACAATGTAATAATAAATAGCCTCATATATTTGCTTTAATTTGCAGGAGTCAGACATTCTGGAGAGGAAGTTCTGGGCTGACTATACAGCCATTTGCTTGCCAGGAAAGCACTTTGCAATTCAAACGAGGAGGATGAAGAGAATGTTCCTGCAAGCTGTCAGTTGCTTTTCATTTTTGCCAGTCTGATAGGGAGAACATGATAGCTTAGTGTTGCTGGTACAGTTTGCATTTTGCTAATGGCTTGTAAGCTACGACATTTTCATGCACTTCGTGCCCATTTGGATTTGGTCTTCTATGATATTTTCCCACTAGTGTCATTTATCTCATTTTCTATTGGCTCATATTGTGTTCTGTTTTGTTTGTTTCAGAAGTTTGTAGTTCATATAATCTTTTGCCAAGTACAATTTTGATTGTTTTAGGCAGTCTCCTTACTTTTCAAGTAGGTTCTATCAAACTAGAGTAGAAGACAATTGTCAGCAATGCTATAATTTGGCCATGATCTTTGAGCCCTTGTCAAATTAGAAATATGCCATGTTTCTCTGCTGCAAGTGTTTCTTGGTTATATTTATGTGGATACTTATCAACTGATAAATCTCTATCTGTATGGGATTTTTGTATTCTTAAGCTATTTTATGGAGTATAGCCCTTTCAATCATCAATTTTATCAGCAAAGAGTCCATTTCTGTCCCCTAGTGACTGCCTAGCCACTTGTACTGACCTCTTCCAGATGCTTTTTCTTGTACACACAAATATGTGATAAATTTTTATTTAAAAATCAGGAATGTGGGGGATGGAGATGGCTCAGTGGGTAAGGGCACAAGTTTGAGCACCCGGAATACATGGTTTTAAAAAGTCAAAACAAACCACACACACACGCCATAAAAGGCAAACACAATGATGCATGCCTGTAACCCCTATATCCTGTAACTCCTACATCAGAGATGAAGACAGATGGATCCCGTCAACTTCCTGGAGAGCCAGACTAACCTAAACAGTGAGCTTCTAACTCAGTGAGAGACCCTGTCTCAAGGCAGTAAGAAGAGAGGGTACAGGAAAGCATCCTGATCTGGCCCCCATGCACTTGTACACATACCAGAGTGCATGCACATGAGTGCACATACTCAATGGGCACGGTAAGAGATTAAAAGAGTCACTTACTACACATCTTAGTGACCTGAACATACCATCTCTTTCCTTTCCTTATTAAAAACGTTCACCTTTCTGCTTAAAGGAAGCACCTTGCAGATTCTTTGGCATATCCTTTGGTTAGAGTTAGGAGCTACTAGTTAAGGTTAGGGTTGTGGCTTAGGGTTATGGTTAGGGGCTAGCTAGGGTTACAGCCAGGGCATAGGGTTAGGGTGCAGGGTTAGGGTTGGGGAGCAGGGTTGGGATGCAGGGTTAGGGTTAGGGAGCAGGGTTGGGGTTAGGGAGCAGGGTTGGGATACAGGGTTAGGGTTAGGGAGCAGGGTTGGGATGTAGGGGTAGGGTTAGGGAGCTGGGTTAGGGAGCAGGGTTAGAGAGTCAGGTTAAGCTAGATTAAATTACCATCATCATTACTTTTGAGCCTGAGGATCATTATTAACTAAACAGGAGTTAAAGGAACATATAAGCACTTCTAAACTGTAACTGAAATGATAGCTGGAGTAATTACTGAGTGGCTAATGGGAAGGTGGTGTATATACTGCATATACCCTGGTAAAAGAATAACTCATGTCCCAGGAAAGAAATGACAAGGTTTTATCTTGTGCCTTTGAATGCTAGAAGTTGGATGTTGTGGCCCAGAGGGGACAATCTCTCCTGGCATGGGAGCAAGTCACAGGACAGACTGGGAGCTGTCAGTCTGTGCCTGGCATCCTTCCCCAGCATACTGAGGGACAGAGGAATAAAATATAAAGTGAAAGAGGACTTATGGAGGAATAGAATGGGGACTATAAAAATTAGGATTCAGTGTACAGACGCTGCACTGAAAGCAGTTGATTTCTGGACTGTTGTCTCGGGATCACAGAGGTTAACCTGGTACTAAAGGGACAGCAGCAGCAAGAGCAGATGTTGCCACTCTCCTGCAGTCTTCTTTGCTTTTTTGATACAGAAGAGAAGTCAAAACATTCTAGATAAGGAAATGCAGCATCAAATTTTTATCTCCACAGCCTTGATACTGAATACAGTGTTTCACACACATTGGGTGTGAAGGAGGGAAGGCGGCAGGGAGAAAGGGAGAGGAGAAGAGTCTATAAAGCTCAGCTTCGTTGTAGCTTCTGTATTCTTTTAGTAATTAACAGCAGCAATACAGCACACATGCTTTCTAATATATATATAATGAAAATGTATATGCATGTACATACAGATTGGGTTAGTTACTTGTGCCACTGCTAAGAAAATACCTGAGAAAAGCATCTTACAGAGGGAAGAGTTGGTTTTGGCACTCAGTTCCAGGGGACACATTCCAACAAGGTGGGAAAATACAGCCACAAGAATGTGAGGTCACTGGTCACATGGCATCTGCATTCAGGAAGCAGAGTGATGAATGTTGCTGTTTGGCTCATTTTCTCCTCTATTCAGTCCGGGACTCCAGCCCAGGCCATGGTACCATTCACATTTAGTATGGGTCCTACTTCAATTAATAGAACCTAGGTAATCCTTCACGGACAAGCCCTGGTATTTGTTTCCATTCTGATTTTAAATACTATCAGGTTGACAGTAAGGTTAGAAATCACACACAACACATATATACACACACCATACACATACCATGTACATACACACACCACACATACACCACATACACACACATAACACACATACCATACATACACACACACATACCACACACACCACATACACACACATAACACACATACCATACATACACACACACACCATATATACACAAAACACCATACACAGACACACTCCACAGTATATACATCACACACTATACACACTATATACGACACACACACACACACACACACACACACACACACACACACACACACACACACACACACACACACAGGCTAGATCACCACTAGAGGGAAGCAAAGGAACATGACAAAAAATGCAACTGCCCTGGACCAGACAAAATTAGAAATGAATTCGAGTCTTCAGCCTTCTTTCCTTCCTTCCTTCCTTCCTTCCTTCCTTCCTTCCTTCCTTCCTTCCTTTCCTCACAGTGGGTATCCTTCAGGTGAAGCATGAGAGGGATGAGCAAGAATAATGGAGAAGATGAATATGATCAAATTATGGTATGATGGCAAGTAAAAACTGTCACATTGAAATCCCATTATCATTTTTGTACAATTAATACATACTAATGAATAAATACTATTGTAGGAAATAATGAAAAAGGCTTGCTTGTCATAAAGTAATATAGAACTTTGGGTTAAAGCCAGACAGGGAGCCTCCCAGGTCATGTGATCAAGGGCTCTCAGCAGACAGGTATTTTTGCAGAGGTAGCTGT